ACGACAGCACCTCTCAGGATGACTCGAACGATACGAATAGTTTCGCGGACCTAGTTCAGGCAACAGACCGAGTTCGGAGCTCTGGATTCCGCAGGCAAGCGCGCCTGATGTCTCCGAATCGATTCGGTGAATACCAGCCATGCAGCCCCCCTACAACCCGTGTTAAGTGCAGAGAACCGACAGCACCTCTCAGGATGACCCGAACGATACGAATAGTTTCGCGGACCTAGTTCAGGCAACAGACCGAGTTCGGAGCTCTGGATTCCGCAGGCAAACGCGCCTGATGTCTCCGAATCGATTCGGTGAATACCAGCCATGCAGCCCCCCTACAGCCCGAGTTAAGTGCAGAGAACCGACAGCATCTCGCAAGCGACTTGAACAATACGAATAGTTTCGCGATTCTACATCGGGCAGCAGACCGAGTTCAGAGCTTTGGATTCAACAGACAACGGCCACTGATGATTCTAAATCAGATTCTGTACGTATGAGCTCTTTTAGCTGTCCTGTAGCTCGAGTTAAGTACAGAAAACCGAGAGCGCCTGTCAAGATGACTCCAATAACACGAATAGGTTTGCGGACCTAGCTCGGCTAGCAGACCGAAGTCAGACCCCTAGCTTCAACAGGCGAACGCGCCTGATCATTCTGAATCGATTAGCTGTGCTTACCAGCTCTGTAGCTGTCCTGAAGCTCGAGTCATCTTGAGAAAACCGACACCGCGTGACAAGATAACTCGAAACGGCCGATCCCGCCCGCGTGCTTTTTGGCAGTAAAAGGTACCCGATCGAGCTGAGATCAAGATGGCGAGCGGGAATAAGATCGAATACCACGGGAAAAAATACTAGAGCTCAAACGAATTTTGGAATTTCGAGAACAAAATTTTCAACCGACCAAAAGTCAGCAAAAGGTCCGTCGAGATTTTCCTTGCCAACTAGCTCTCCAGCGCCCCGGAATTTCTCTTAAGCTTCCAGCAATAACTTGCTAAGGGAAGCTCTACGAGTTACTGGGCGCCGGCGGTAAACCGTCAACCTTTGTTACCGCCGGGGGACTCGTTGAGCTTCCTGACAACATATAATGTCGAAAGAAATTACACAGAAAAAAATAGTTTTTCAGCCCAGGCAATTTGAGATGTACGAGCTCTGTAGCTCTCCTACAGCCCGATAAACGTGCGTAAATCGACAGCACCTCTCAAGATGACTCGAACAATACGAATAGTTTGGCAAACCTAGTTCGAGTATCAGACCGAGTTCAGACCTCTGCATGCGACAGGCGGACGCGTCTGATGTCTCTGAATCGATCCCTGTGGTTACCAGCCCTTGAGCCCCCCCTGCAGCCGAGTTAAGTGCAGGAAACCGACAGCATCTCTCAGGATGACTCGAACGATACGAATAGTTTCGCGGACCTAGTTCGGCCAACAGACCGAGTTCGGAGCTCTGGATTCCGCAGGCGAACGCGCCTGATGTCTCCGAATCGATTCCAGTGATTACCAGCCATGCAGCCACCCTACAGCCCGAGATAAGTGCAGAGAACCGACAGCATCTCGCAAGCGACTCGAAGAATATGAAGAGTTTCGCGATTCTAGATCCGGCAGCAGACCGAGTTCAGAGCTTTGGATTCAACAGACAACAGCAACTGATCATTCTGAATCAGATTCTGTACGTATCAGCTCTTTAGCTGTCCTATAGCTCGAGTTAAGTACAGAAAACCGAGAGCGCCTGTCAAGATGACTCGAATAGTACGAATAGGTTTGCGCAGCTAGCTCGGCTAGCAGACCGAATTCAGACCTCTGGCTTCAACAGACGAGCGCGCCTGATCATTCTGAATCGATGAGCTGTGCTTACCAGCTCTTTAGCTGTCCTGAAGCTCGAGTTATCTTGAGAAAATCGACACCGCGTGACAAGATGACTCGAACCGGCGGATCCCGCCCGTGTGCTTTTTGGCAGTAAAAGGTACCCGATGGAGCTGAGATCAAGATGGCGAGCGGGAATAAGATCGAATATCACGGGAAAAAATACTAGAGCTCAAACGGTTGTTGAATTTCGAGAACAAAATTTTCAACCGACCAAAAGTCAGCAAAAGGTCCGTCGAGATTTTCCTTGCCAACTAGCTCTCGAGCGCCCCGGAACTGGCACCGGTGGTGAACCGTCAACCTGGTCTCCGCCGGGAACCTCGTAGAGCTCTTTTCACGCGTGAGAGTGCTAAGAGTCGAAGGAGAGAGCTTCTCGAGGCATTTCTCGAAAAATTGAATCTTCAATTTTTTCATGTCGATGGAAAGTTGATTGCGCCAAGTGTTTTCATAGTAAAAGTGCGCCTTCAGCGCTCATATTGAGACGCAGAGGCCCTCAAAGTTGTCTACAGGTGCGAAAAATCTGCTTTCTCAAAATGAGTTGTCATATCTTTCAAATATTTGCAAAACTACCCAAAAGTTGCCGCATTGTCCGCCTCGGCCGGCTGGGCCAACTAGCTCCACCCCGCGCCGGAATTCCTCTGGCTCATCGACGACGAGAAGCTCTACGAGGTATTACTGGGCGCCGGCGGTAAACCGTCAACCTGGTTACCGCTGGGGACCTCGTAGAGCTCTTTCCTTGCCCAACTCTTCGGAACGTGAAGCAAGCTTAAGCGAGAGCCAGAAAACTCAAAAAATCGATCGCATACAAATAGTTTTGCGGACTTAGCTCGAGAAGCAGACTCTGTTCAGAGCTCTAGATGCTTCAGCCAAACGCCCCTGATGATTCTCTACCGGTTTCTGTGCGTACCACCTCTCTAGCTGTGCTACAGCTAGAGTTAAGTGCAGAATACCGACAGCGCCTCTAAAGAGAACTTCAGAAATACGAATAGTGTTGTGGACCTAGCTCGACTAGCAGAACAAGTTCAGGCCTCTCGATGCCTCCCCCATGAAGCCGCGCCCTCGCGCGCGCGGAATGCGGGACGCCATCTCTTGAAAAGCCCAGTTCATCTTGAACGTGTTTCTAACCCTGTTTTTCCTGAGCGTGCTCGTGTTCATAGTATTCATTCTACACTTGTTTACCGACGGCTGCGCTGGTGGACGCATGTACTTAGACCTGTGTTCTGTGACTGCCCCGATGGGGCCCCATTTGATTATGGCGACACTGTGGGAGTTAGAGCTATTACGTTTGGACGGTTTTCTTTTCATAAAGAAGGAGGAGGTGGTGGTGGTGTTGTTAGTGATCGTATGGCTTCTCCTTGCCGTGACCTGCGCGAGTTATTTCCAGCTCTACCTGGGGCCCGTCGTCTCGAGTGGTTTCAGAGTGCTGGGATCGAGGAGGTAGGAGATGTTGTTGAGCGAGAGGGGCTCCGTGAGTTGGCGCTGATGCCCAAAGCGTGCACAAAGTTTGTCCTGTCTGTGCGTTCTCGGCGCGACGTTGGTGACGTTGACGTTGTTCGTCCGCTAGTGTGCCATGGATGCAGTGAAGTATGTAATGGTGGGCGTGGTCTGGCTATGCATCGCGCTCGTGTAAATCGCGTTCGACCGCTCGCCGACGTGCCTGATTTGACGCGCCCTATGTGTCGACAGCAGTTCGCCCGTCGTGGCGCATTATCGCGACATGTACGCTTGCGCTGTGCCGCATCCGTTGAGGCTCGGGCTCAACCCCCGCCAGTTCCCGTCGATCTGATCGCGCCTGCTGTGCGTGTGCCCCCCGTTGCTAAACGGCCGGCGGCTGTGCTTCGGAGACCAGCTGCAAGCCTACCTGATGGCGATGTTCGGATAATGGGGCGCGGCGGCAGCAGCTGCGACGACGGGGGAGGGCCCCAGGCGCAAGCCAGGGGGCGAGGCAGAGGACGAGGCAAAGGGGGGGGGCGAGGACGAAGTGCAGTCCAGCCTGAAGAAGCTGGTCATGGCGATGGCGATGTGCACGATGCAGTTAGTCGACGAGAATCGCAACCACGGGCGCGTGTGCGAAGATGATGCGCAAGCAAGAGTCGGACTACGCAAAGGAAGGAAAGGCGGCAAGGGCAAAGGCAGAGGAGGACAAGTATGACTTTCGGGGCCACCCTCATGGAACAAAGAGCCAGATGTGTGGGGCCGTGCGCTTTTGGTTCGTTTATCTCAATATCTCCAGCAGCCTGGGATGATGGAACAGTTGAATGCGTCGGGAACAGTATTGCAAACTATCAGAAACGTGTGTGCTTTCGGTGAGCGTGCAAAGGTTGACTCAACGATTCGCTGTCAGCGTGCCTTTCGTGTTGAAGTTGAATTGGACGGAGTTGCAATCTATAAATGGGTCTTCTACTTCCCGAGGGCGTCTGTGATAAATGATTAGCGTATTCTCTTGAGTGATCGTGCGCTTGAGAAAGTAGGCATGTCTATCCTTGAGGATTTTGCACCTCGGACGGCTGCTGCCAAAGGAGTGGCGGCCCTGGCGTTCAAACCAAAGAATTCGAAGTGTGGTCCTTCCTTTGGACCAAGAATTCGAAACCTGGCCACAGAGATGGCCAGCGTTGTGGGGCGATGCCTCGCCGTGCCCGCGGTGCCGCAGGAAGTCTATAACATGTTATGGAAACCTCGCGTGAAGCCTGATAGGGTTGAGCGTGTATATATATATATATATATATATATACACACACCTCCGTTCACACCTCTGTTGATTCTTGCGTCGCCTCGGTGGCCACGCGCCTCAGGACAGAGTTGAGGCATCGCTGTCATCGGCTACGCGGCAATGACGATTGTGCTTTCTTTGTCTGGAGTCGCGCACCGCAGCCTTCGGCAAACACATCGTAATGTACACATGTTCTTTAGGTATATATATATATGTTTATGTATACATAAGCACACACATATATATATATATATATATATATATATAATATATATATATATATATATATATATATATATATATATGTATGTGTGTGTATATATGTGTATATGTATATGTGTTTATATGTGTACAGCAGTGTGTCTCATGTATGCATATCTATATGTGTATACAACAGGGAAAACGAGACAACGGGGCGGGGTTCGCCCGACCAGATTTGCTCGCAGCCGGCCGGCTCCAGGCGGGCGGGCTCGGGCGGGAGCGGCCGGGGGCGGCGCGGGGGGTGCGCCGCGCCCCTGGCCCCGCGGTGGGGTCCCTGGTGTGGGAGGGGGTGGCAGGGGGGAGGTGGGCTCTCCTCCTCCTCCTCCTTCTCCTCCTCCTCCTCCTCCTCCTCTTCTTCCTCTTCCTTCTCCTCCTCTTCTTCCTCCTCCTCCTCCTCCTCTTCCTCCTCCTCCTCCTCGTCCCGCCCTCTGGCTATGAGTCGGCGGCGAAATCCGAACCTCTCCATCTCCGATGAACGATTCAGGCAACTGGATGGGCGGCGGGGGTAGGGTTCGGATGTCGCCACCCAGTGATGAAAATCCTGGAGTCATCGCGCGGCGTGCAGTGATTAGTCCGCATGTCCGCTCCATCAGATTCGAGACGACGTTCGCGCGGCGATGTTTCTACGCACGTCCGAAATGATTTCGATGTAGTTCTGACGAAATCCGACGTGGACCCGACGTAATTCCGACGTGTATCCGACGTAAGATTTGTTTTGAGTTGCCGTGCAAGGCCTCGGTGATTTTTCTCATAAAAGGATGCTTGAAATGATATGTTTAGTGTGGCCAGAGGTTCAGTGTGTCACCTAGGAGTGCCACCCGAAGGCAAGACATGTTCTTCGTCGAATGCGACGATTCAGCTTGAAGCTCGTGCCTGATGGGGCAAGTCAGCCACGGGAGATGAAATCCGAAGACCCCGGGGGGGAGGGAGGAGGGGGAAGTTGTGGAGGATAATAGAGGACTGGAAGGGGAGGCTGGGGGGAGGAGGGGAGAGGAAGAGGGAGGAGGATGGAGGGGGAGGAGGAGGGGGGAGAGGAGGGAAAAAGGATGCAGGAGAGGGGAGGACGGGGGGAGGGTGTAGGAGGAGAGAGGAGGGGGATGAAGAGGGAACGGGTGGGAGGATGATGCGGTGGAGGGAGGGAGGGAGGGAGGGAGGGAGGGAGGCAGGGAGAGGAGCATAGTTTTTTTTTGTTGGGTGGGGATTCTAGAGGGTTTCCTCTCCTCCTAGTTGTCTTCGTCCCTTCTTCGCGACTCAGCCCATTCTTCTCACTTGCTTTCTCGTCCTCCATCGCCCTTCTAAGGGCTCTAGTTCTACCTCGCCGTAAGGTCGTTCTGATAATTAATCGCCGTAAGGCCGCTCTTTGTTTCTGGACACTTCACTTCACGACGAGAGTCTGGTCACTTTTGCTTCACGACGGGAACCCGTTCCAACTAGCTGCCAGCAGTGAAACAGTCAAGCGGTTTGGCTCAAGCCGACCTCGAACAGAGGAAACACCAGCCGAAGCTCCAGATTGAAGATGCATGTCGCGCTCGCATCTCTTGCCACCAATCTGCTGTCCCGCTGGCTTCCGTATTCCTGCTTCCTCCCTTTTTACTTCTCCCTCCTCCTTCCCCTCAGGAGTCCACTGCATGCAATGCCCCCTCAGAGTTCTCAGTAGATCGGCAGTGTCGTCCAAGATGGGCTGCTGTGGCGGATCAGATCTCCATGTGCTGTATCTTATCGTATCGTATCGTGCCTTCCCTCCTCCGATATGGTAAGGCGTAGTGGCTGAAGGTTTTTCACTGCGGGCCTGGACTCGGGTAACTCGTGCCCGAGTTTGGGATCTCTGGCAGTGCTCCAGATTTCTGGGTAGCCCTGGGGTCAGCTTCCCATGCGTCTTGGGATGCAATAGTCTGGCTGGCCTCTGGGGCCCTCAAACTGCTTAAAGCAGGGACGAACGAGGCCCCAACGGAGTGCTTCTTTCTTCCTCCCGTCTCTCTCCTCCCTCCTCGCTCAGAGGCGTACTGTTATGCTTGCAGTGCAGAGCTGTGGAGAAGCCTCGAGGGGAGCTCCCGCGTGCAGAACCTTCATGGACGAGTCCATCTGAGGCACGGCGGTGCCACCCACCCATGCCCCGCGCAGGGCCGTACGCTGCCCGCGATCGTCTGTCTGTTTGTCTGTTTGTCTGTCTTTCTGACTGTCTGACTGTCTGTTCGTCTGTCCGTCCGTCCGTCCGTCCGTCTGCCTGTCCTCCTCGCTCTGCCCTCCTCCTCGCCCTCGCCCTGCCCTGCCCTCCTCCTCCTCCTCGCTCTGTCCTCCTCGCTCTGTCCTCCTCCTCGCCCTCGCCCTGCCCTGCCCTCCTCCTCCTCCTCGCTCCTGTCCTCCTCGCTCTGTCTGTCCTCCTCGCTCTGCCTGCCTTCCTCCTCGCCCTGCCCTCCCTGCTCCGCGGCGCCGGCGGGCCGGCGGCGGCACGGCCCGCCATCCCAGAGCTCCGTGTTGCGCCGCGCCGGCGCCGCCGAGGCGCCGCGCCCTGCCGCGGCCATGGACTCGGACGACGAGGACCCGCCTGCGCTGGGGCCTCCTCCTCCTCCTCCTCCTCCTCCTCCTCCTCCTCCTCCTCCTCCTCCTCCTCCCCCTCCTCCCTCGTCCTCCTCCTCCTCCTCCTCCTCCTCCTCCTCCTCCTCCTCCTCCTCATCAGAGGCCAGCAACATCTGTGCACGTACGCGGCTAGTTTCCCCTGGAGTGCGTGTCAACGCGGGCGTTCGTGCAGGCAAGACCGTGGAGGGCGTACATGTGCATATTGTCGTTGCTCGCCCAGGGCAGGGAGGGGGCCGGGGGGGCGCTGATCGGCGGCGAGTTTTGGGGGGAAGCGATTGGGGGCGGGCCTTCTCGGAGGGCTCGGAAGGCCTCGGGATTCCTGCGAGGTCTTCCGAGCCTTCCCGGAGGACACAGCAGCAGTTCTCAGAAGGCGCGAGGGCTTTGAGAAGCCCTGCCGCCTTCTGAGAAGGCCTGCCCCCTCTCACTTCGCCCCTGGGCTGGCCGCCCACTGGGGGGCACCGAGAGCACGCCCACCCAGACAAGTCGACAGGGCAAATCTGCGCGGGTTCACTCGACATCGGCATTCGAGCACTTGAGTGTGCCGGTGCAGTCTCTAGTCGGCTTCGCCCATTGACGTGCGTTTCTCGCCAGATACACCCGGTTCGTTTTCGATGTCGATTCACTACCCCCGCTGGGAGCCAGTCGGAGTGCGGTGCCGTGCGCACGTGGAGTGCCTCTGGCAGCTTTCACGACATGGCGTTTTGCCGAAAGGTGCTCTGTCGATATCCGAGGGGGGGAGGCCAGGGGCAACGTCCGGGGGGGAGAGGCTCAGGGGAAGGAGGAGGAGGAGGAGGAGGAGGAGGAGGAGGAGGAGGAGGAGGAGGAGGAGGCGGAGCTGCTGGATGGCCATCGCGTGTTCTGGAGACCTCTGGAAACATCGCCGACAGCGGCCGGATAGCCTGCCCCTTCAGGACTCTGCGGATTCGCTATCGGGGGCCCATCGCCAATCGATGTATCGCTGGTTCAAGCTCGATGTTTCCTCCCTGGTCTGTCCCCCTAACGCTGCCCCTAAGAGATCGAGACAATCACAAAGTCTCGGCGGTCTGCGCGGATTTCTTGGAGTGGCGCTGGCCTCCTCCCTGTCACGTGGGGGGCCCCTGGCGCGCTCCGCGGCTTCCGAGGCGCCGCAGGGGGGTCCAGCGCCGATCCAAGCAATCCGCGCGGACCTCCGAGCATTCATGTTTGTGCTGCTTTCTGTATTCTTCGAGAGATGGTGAGAGGGAGGGGAAGAGGGAGGGAGGCGCGAGCGAGGGACGAGTGGGGGGGTGGGAGGAGGGAGCCAGGCAGGACGAGCGAGGAGGGAGTTTGTGGCGGATGCGGCTCGTCCCTCCGCGCCCGCGCTCGGTCCAGCGCGCTTCGAATGCAGGCAGCGGGCGAGGCCCGTCGCCGAAGGGCGGTGGCCTTGCTCGTGGACGCGTCTCCCTGGGGGGGTGAGTGCGGATTTTTTCAAGGAGGCTCTGTGGCAGTGGCGGGGGGAGGGGAGGAGGGAGGCGGGAGGAAGGGGAAACGTCGAGAGGGAGGAGGGAGCATGGGCCTGGGGGAGGGAGGGATAGGAGGGAGGAGGGATGGGCCTGGGCCGAGGGGAGAGAGGACGGAGGAGCGTGGGGGATGGTGGTTGGAATTGGATGGTCCTTCGTGACTGGTAGGCCCCCCCAGTGATACGTTTTCGTTGAGTTCAGGGTATAAGCTTCTTGATGCTCGCGGCAAGTTTAGCCACCGTTACTAGCGCATACATGTGACGGCGTTCTTCCCAAGGCTCCAGATGCGCTTTGCATGTGATAGCTGGCTGCCTCGGAGCCTACGGGGGCTACATCATGTGAGACCTCCTCTCCCAGGGTCCAGGATGTCCGTCGCACGTGCCAGCTCGGTTCCCCAGAGCATGTGAGACCTCCTCTCCCAGGGTCCAGGATGTCCGTCGCACGTGCCAGCTCGGTTCCCCAGAGCGGGGAAGGCCGCAGCATGTCGCAGTTGCATTCCCCACAGGTCAGGGGCTCGTGGTACGCGTTTTCTTTCCGTCCCGCGGGCTTTCTTTGGGGGGGGGACTCTTGGCGGCCTCTCGGGGGCCATCGTGGGCCTCTCGGTGGTCTCGTGGTGGCCGTCTGGGCATCCTCTGGGTCTTGCGTCCTCGGAGGCGTCTCCAGTGGGTGCGAGGCGAGTCCTGCATTTTTTTTTTTTTTTTTTTTTTTTGTTTGTTTTTTTTTGGGGGGGGGGGGCGTGCGGAAATTCATCGATTCTTTCCACGTCTGTGCCCCTTCTCCCAACGCCACGATCGGTCCTTCCCCTCCTCCCTCCCTGCTCGTCCTCCCCGCCCCTCCCGCCCGCCCCGCTCTCCGCTCTCCGCCAAATTTGCTGCCTGTCTGATCCCTCGCCGCCCGCTCTTCGGTCGTCCCCTTCGGCCGTGACCTCCAAGTCCTGCGTCCCCCCTCGCCTCGCCGAGGAGCTGTGGGCAGCCCTCGAGGGCGAGTCGCCGGGCAAGAAGGCCCAGCGGCGCGCGCCCGACAGTGCCAGGCTAGGAGGAGCGCGCGTGCGCGTGCGCGCGCGAGCGCACGGCGCGCGCGGGCACGGCTGCGCGAGCGCGGACGCTCGCGCGCGCACGCGCACACGGACGGCGGCAGTCGCGCGCTGCGTGCGTCGGCGAACAGCCAGGGGCACCCGAGACCGCGGGAGAGGCCCGAGCAGGCCGCGCCGGAGGGGGGGCCGCGCCTCCGGAGGTACGCCGCCCAGGAGGGCGCCCTCCAGGGGGCGGCCGCGGCTGCTGCCTCGGCGTTCGAGATGGCCAGGAGACGCCGTGAACGCAGGGCCAGGACTGGAGTGGGGGCCTGGGGTCTGTCCTCTTCTCGACCTTCCAAGGGCGAGAAAAAAAAACCCGCCCCCCCCCAATTGGTGCTTACCGAACAGGCGTGGGCGTTTCCCACAGAAGCATCCCTGGCTTGTTCGATCCCTTTCTAAGGTGCGTTTGCTGTAAGGCTACGCTTGTAGAGATGTCTATTCTTCTCAGGGTGGTTTTTCTGCCCTCTAGAACTTGGGGAGCAGTGGGCAGAATTGGGGCTTGAGTGCCTTGAGGGCGAGTTTTCCTACAAGGATCGGGCGGGGCTAGACCAGAACGGCCAGATCTCAGAGATTCTCGACTTGTTCTGGTCTAGTGTTGTCCATGTCCTGGCTTCGTCTTACAGGGTGCGCCATGTACGCCCATTTTCCCTCACTCAGGGTCTCCAGGTATGCGGCGCTTGCCGACCTGATCCCACAGATTTTGGAACTCCATCCGAGTAGCATCGTCCTCGTCCTTGTCCTCCCCTTGTTTCTCTCGTCCTGACCCCCGTTCGGCAGCTCCTGAGCCTCGTCATCACCGCTCTCTCCTCTGCTTCCTCCTCCCTGGGCCTGCTCGTGGAGCTTTTCGGACTCGAAGCAGCTACGGCCGGGTGTTCGAGTTGGAGTCGGGGCAGGGATCGCAGGCATACGCCAGCCTCCTCTGCTTTTCAGCGGCGTGGTCGGCGGCCATGGCATTCGAGTCGAAGTCCCATCCCGCTGCAGCGTTGCTGTGTTACTGAGGTGGCTCGCAAGAGGGAGGTAGGCCGGACGGAGTGAAACAGCTCATTGGGATGATGGTGCGAGGAGGAGGAGGAGGAAAAATATGAGGAGGATGAGGAGGGAGGAGGAGGAGGAGGAGGAGGAGGAGGAGGAGGAGGAGGCAGAGGCGGATGCGGAGGCGGAGGCGGAGGCGGAGGCGGAGGCGGAGGCGGAGGCGGAGGCGGAGGCGGAGGCGGAGGCGGAGGCGGAGGCGGAGGCGGAGGCGAGGAGGAGGAGGAGGAGGAGGAGGAGGAGGAGAGGAGGAGGAGGAGGAGGAGGAGGAGGATGAGGATGAGGATGAGGATGATGATGATGATGATGATGATGATGATGATGATGATGATGATGATGATGATGATGATGATGATGATGATGATGATCATGATGATGATGATGATGATGATGATGATGATGGTGGTGGTGGTGGTGGTGGTAGTGGTGGTGGTGGTGATGATGATGTTGATGCTGATGATGATGATGATGATGATGAGGAGGAGGAGGATGAGGACGAAGGGGAGGAGGAGGGGGAGGAGGAATAATAGTAATATTCCGAGTCATATTCATAATACTATTACGAATGATACTACGATTAATAATAAGGATGCTAGTAACACCAATAGTACTACTAACGCTAATACGAGTACTAATCATATTATGATAAATCTTGCTAATGCGAATAATTAATACTATTAAGTAGAAAACTATTCGGAAACATTCGAATACTATTAAGACTACCAACAACACGACGCAACATAATCATATCTTTATTTTCAATCAGAATACAAAACGACGAATAATAAGACGAAACATAAAACATTAATGCGAGGAGGAGGAGGAAGGAGGAGGAGGAGGGGAAAAGGAAGAGAACGCAGGCACGAGGAGGGAGGGGGAGAGAGTGCCAGGGGAGAAATATTAGGAAGGGGGAAGGATGATTCAGGAGGAGGAGGAGGAGGAGGAGGACGAATCTGAGGAGGAGGAGGATGAGGAGGAGGTGAATATTCAGAAAAAATACGCATAACCCCGAGTGCGTTACAGAGGTAAATATTTCTTGGAATGGGACTTTGAAGAGGGAGGTGAGCAAGTATAAGGGGAGAGAGTTATTTGCACGTTTCGAGCGACATCCCGATACCGAGCCCGATACGGTGTGCTTGGAGAAGCTTTGGATTGGGCGAAGGCCAGCTTTACGGACAAGGCCCCCAAGCTACCTGGTCTCCAGATTTCGATGTAAAAGTGGCTAGTACGGAGGACGGTAACATGGGCGCCCGGAACTACGGTACATTGTGCACCGTGGCAAACAAGGGCATTGTCCATTGGAACGAGAGCGGGCTGAACCTGGTCGGTATGAGAACATCCAGGAGGCCACGGTATCTCTAAGTTACTACCATCGCCCTCGACGCCAATAGGGGTACCCGCTATCGAATTTGAGTATTGGGAACTGCTCGGTTACGAGTTTTATCGTGCACAAGAAGAGGCCCTGCGAGGCTTCTAGAATCACCCGGATCCTGCGGAGACTTGGTTGTGGGCGAGCTGTGCTTTGCTTGCAGGAGAATCCGCGGTGGACCACTGGGAGAATAATTCAAGACATCCGCTACGTTTTGCATTTTAACCAGACTCGGGACGATGAGCGTGCGTACTGGGATGGATTCGATTGTGGCTTCCTCATACCGATATGCCTGAATCCATACGTGCGGGACGAGCGTCAAGTATTGGAATGGGCTTGTAAGGGGTGTGGTTTCATTTAGATGTTCTTAATTTCTTAGAGTTCAGTTCATACATAAAGCTAGAGGAGATGGAGAGCAGCGACGCACGGGAGGAGACACTTCAAGTGTATTGCGATTGCCAAAACAAGGTTGGACGGCGATTTCCGTCACTGCTGGTTTTGACGCGAGTAGGATTTTACCGCCAGACGGGAACCACAGGCGGCTCTGTATTAAATCCGTTGAAGTCGCACACCGCCGTTATGCAAGAGCGGGTGCTGGGATGGATGGAAGCCTTGGGCCTGGGAGCTTTGAGCACGTTTCTTGGGGAAAATGCGACCGACTTGTGTCCAGCGGAATTGAGGACATGTGGAATGAAAACTTGCCCAGTTCATTGATCGCAGATTGATTTCGTTGCTGTTTCTTCTTGTATACAAGGTCTTGCACACCTTTCGAGTTTTTTTTTCGACTTGCGAGCTGAGGCCTCCTTAAGCAAGGGCATGGACCAGTGGCCGGTCCGAGCAGAACTCAGGTGGCAAGTTCCGCCGACGAGCTCATGTACGACGCCAGTTTTGATTCCGACGTCGCTTCGGCGTTTCTTAGATGATTCTGCCGTCGCAGAAAAGGTCCAGGAATACATGGTGAAACCCGCATGGGGAGATCTCAAATGGCTAGCACTTTCTACAGCGTGGACGGCGCATCTGGCAGCAGGGACGCCAAAGCAGCAAAGCGTCCTCTTTACAGCAGATCCGTATGCAGCTCCGCATTGCCACCCAACAGGATCAGCAGAAGGCATTGAGACCTTCGATATGGGATTATCCCAGTGCGACCCTACCTAAGAGTTGGAGCCCCTAGGAAAGCAGCAGAAGTAGTAACAGTAAAGCTAAGCTAAAGCTAAGCTGAAGCTAAGCTGAAGCTAAGCTGAAGCTAAGCTAAAGCTAAGCTAAAGCTAAGCTGAAGCTAAGCTGAAGCTGAGCTACATCTAAACTAAAGCTAAGCTAAAGCTAAGCTGAAGCTAAGCTGAAGCTAAGCTGAAGCTAAGCTAAAGCTAGAGCTAAAGCTAAGCTAAAACTAAGCTGACGCTAAGCTACAGCTAAGCTACATCTAAGCTAAAGCTAAGCTGCAGCTAAGCTAAAGCTAAGCTAAAGCTAAGCTAAGGCTAAGCTGAAGCTAAGCTAAAGCTAAGCTAAAGCTAAGCTAAAATTAAGCTGAAGCTAAAGCTAAAGCTAAAGCTAAGCTAACGCTAAGCTAAAAGCTAAGCTAAAGCTAAAGCTAAAACTCCCAGGGGACTGGGGGAACCGCGGGGCGGGGACTGGGGGAACCTCCCGGGGCGCTTTGCACTGCCCGGCCCCTTAAGCTAAGAGGGTAAGAACCCTTCTAGGCAGAGCCTAGGTAGGGAATCTTGTGAAAGAAATGAATCAGCAGAGGTTGCAAAACCAGATCGCCATGTTCAGGCAGAATCAAGGCCACGACTCCTTCACAATCACGAGCGTGACAGCAGACGGCAACGTGGCGGCCGACTGGACAGCGTGTCTGGAGGGATCTAAAGGACTTCGGCGTACAGAAGTTTGGTGATTCACCAAAGAGTCTGTGCATCCAGCAAGACGGGTTGCAGAGGCCCTGGAGCGCAGCAGCCAATGACTTGCTGGATGGGCTCGGGCAGGGAGGGTCAGAAGTTGGGGCACTTTGCAATCAAGGGGGCAGCTGAGATGGGGGTCGGCTCCGGGAGTCGTCGGCGTGACCCCAGACGTGTACGTGCAGTTGCCATTCATCGCGGTTGCCAAGGTGCATGCACAACGCGTTACAGAGTATTCTTCCAGAGGGGGTCCACGAGTCCAGGGTCGCCCTTTTGGAAAATTTTGGATTTGTTGGAGTTCCCAAGCGCAGTGCTGCTTGGGTTTACTTCGATTCACGATTGGATTTGCAAATTGGTTGTGTTACAGGAATGAATCTGCGAGCTCTGCAACGGAGATGGTGGGCACAGCTGCGCGCGTCGGGCGTGCTCACCTACGGCTTTCGACCCGAGACGTCGGTTTCCGATCTGATTGGGGTCATCAAGGAGGCGTGCCATTCCGCAAACGTCTCGGGAGTAGCACTGGAAGTTGCCGTCCAAGAAATCAAAGCAGTTTTGATGCAATGCCGCATTTTGTTTGTGCGCGGTTCCCTGGTAGTTCTTGGAGCCGATTCGTAACGTGTATGGTTACACATGCGGGAGCTTTCGCAAATGCAGGCTCGTACCAGCCTCCCTTTTGCAGGAGCAGCGATTTTTTGTCGATTTCGACAGGGGGGGCAAGCAAGGAGGAGTGGTTACTGGATGGCTTCCGCACCGGCGCGTTATACTT